ATGCGAGAAGAAACTGTTAGCATAAAATTTACGGTTGCATTTAGCCATTTCAAGTATAAAATGATGAGACCTATCTGCCAATCTAGTACTAATTCATAAAGACTAAGTACCATAGAGGAAAAATCATCAGAACAATTACTATGAACGTATTTATAGATAAAGCACAGAGATGCTACGTTACGTCTGTGGGAAAAATGACTGAAGCCGAGATGCCAAGTCAGGACCGATATCGTTGCAGATTGTCTTTTGGATATTATCAAGAATCTCTAAATATAGAGTAGGAGCACCAGACCAGATGTGGCAACAACATTCAAAGCATGAATGAATAGTAGACTTATAAATAAGTAATGGATAGCGGCTCGGATTGAAGAATCGGAGAGCCGAGTTCAAATTCCAGTCACGTCAATTACATTCACTTACGTTCTAATACCCTTGGGAAAGATATGAATCTCTTTCTTCTCCCTCCAGCTATGGGTAAATAGCAGGATAGGCCGGGTTCTGTAGCCTTGGATAGCAATTAGTCTACCACAGAAAGAAATAGCAATCTACTGCGGGAAAAAAATCTGCCTTGTCAGTCATGTATCAAAAGATACATGATCGCTGACGCGTGTATCATGCATGCCACCTAACTGACTGAAGGTAGATTCTGACGAGAAAAATTGTCTAGCACGACACAGTGAACGAACTTTTCTAGCAGCAAATCTAACAATTGATTCAACATAATCACTCTAGTCTGGCAAACGTTATCCCATTTATTTATTTGGTAATCTATTGTAAAACGCGTTGCAAATATAATAATTTCTACATTTGATTGTGTAGTCGTTTTGTAAGAATCAATAATACTTTTACTGCAGCAACAATTAAAACTTTGATTGTTGTGACCTTGTCTGCTTCATTTTTTTTTCTTTTATTTTAAGAATGTCGGGTTTTCGAAACCCTCAACTATGGAACAATGCGGCGCCCTTTAAAATGTGTTTAAATAGCGGCAGTAAAGAGTAAGATGAATTGACGCCATTGTTGTTCAGAGCAGACAATCAGGAAGGAGAACAAAAAGCAGCACGTGACTGAAGGTTGCCCTCAGCGAAATAACGGAAGTATTGATTTTCTACGTTTCCGGCCGTACGAGTGGCAAGCAAATGTTCATAATCTGTTTAACAAAGAGGGAACAAAAAATAGGTTCCGTAGAAAAGAAGCATGTGAAGCTGATGAGCAAAACAAAAAATGGCGACGTGCAAACCGCGCCTACATTTCATGTATGCATTGCGCATCGCTGCTGTTTTAGTAAATACCGCGATTAAAACGAAATGATGTATGGTTTTAGCGCCGTATCGCTACTCTTAAATGAATATAGAGCAAAAGACTTTTATTAAATAAATTAATGAAAATAACAGCGCCGCAAATTCTGCCGTTTCATGGTTGAGATAGAGATGTTTATGTTACTTCGAGACAAAAAAAATTAAAATTCCGAATGCAACAAGTAGAGAGACTATAAAGAAAGAAAGAAACAAACAAACAAAGAAACAAACAAACAAAGAATGAAAGAAAGAATGAAAGAAAGAGAGGAGGGGGTGAAAGAAAGAAAGAAAGAAAGAAAGAAAGAAAGAAAGAAAGAAAGAAAGAAAGAAAGAAAGAGAGGAGGGGCGAAAAAAGAAAGAACAAAACAAACAAACAAAGAAATAAAGAAAGAAAGGAGGAGGCGAAAGAAAGAAAGAAAGAAAGAAAGAAAGAAAGAAAGAAAGAAAGAAAGAAAGAAAGAAAGAGATAAAGATTAGAAATAAGAGAGAAGGACATATTAGTGACAAAAAGCACAGAAGAAAGAAAAAAGAAAGTGATTAGATGAGAAATAAGGGGAGGGGAAGTGATTTATAATTAGAAAGAAAGATAGAGATTAGTGACAAAATCCTAGAAGTAAGAAAGGAAGAAAAAAAAAACAAAAAAGAAACGGATGACATGAATAAAACAAGAGAGAAAAACAGACAAAAAGATAGATAGATAGATAGATAGATAGATAGATAGATAGATAGATAGATATACACGCACACACACACACACTTATTTTTAGGGATACACGTATTTGACTAGACGCTCCATTTGTTTCAAACAATGTTTAATTCATCTACCGGCGGTCTGCATTATCAACAAAACCTATTCAAGAAAATCAGACCGCAGGCAGAATTCAAAAATATATGTCAAATTAAAAAATTAAATCCATCTATATATATATATATATATATATATATATATATATATATATATATATATATATATATATATATATATGTGTGTGTGTGTGTGTGTGTGTGTGTGTGTGTGTGTGTGTGAAAAGTGTGAAAAGTGTGTGTATATAAATAAAATAAATATATATATATATATATATAATTATTGATATATTATATACTTGGTACTTATTAGGAAGCGCTCAATATCAGAGATAGAGCTAACATATTTGGTTGGATTGATGTGAGTTTGTGACCCTGGGTTTCACGCTTTTGCGTTAGCACGATGACATCACGGCGATGTTTCCATAATAACACCAATACACGCAATCTACATAAACCCAAAATTTTAATAAATTAATCAGTTTGTCTGACGATCGCAAAAGCGTGAAACCCAGGGTCACAAACTGACATCTATCCAACCAAATATATATATATATATATATAAGCACACGCATACACTAACAAAAAAACCTTCCCCAAAGATAAGTGCATATAAAAAAGAAAAGTATACAAGTATAAGCAGTCAATTTCTTATACCCACTGACGTTATATATATATATATATATATATATATATATATATATATATATATATATATGAATGTCTATTATGTCTGGTCATGAGCCGTTTTAATGTTCGAATGTTTGCCTTAATTTCGGGTGAAAAAACATTTGTATACTTTTATATTAAGTTGGTCCTCAGCTTTCAGCTCACATGAGCCATCCACAGAATAGTTATACAAAGATATCCACCGTCAAAGCTGATATTTTGATATTCTGACATAGAAAATCATATGCAACGACAACGGTCGCAGATCGTAAAGTATATATACATATATATATACATATATATATATATATACATATATATATATATATATATATATATATATATATATATATATGTGTGTGTGTGTGTGTGTGTGTGTGTGAAAGACATGCAAACTAGACGAGGGTTAATACATCTTCCGTTTAAAATTTAGACACCTGACCTTACCCTGACTTGACGTCTATGAAAGTAACTCTATACTGATACTTATTATTAACACCCAACACTCGCCTACCCAATTTAAACAATTCGCCCCAGCTGTTACCATGGAAATTTTGATTTCAATTTTTAAAACACGTAAATTTCAGATATACGTTATTCAAAAAAAAAAAATTCGCTTGAAGATGGAACAGAGCTTACTTTATCTCAATTTAATTTAAATAATTATATTGAAGTTTTCGGCTCTTGTTTTGAAACATGAGACTTCTTATGACGCGTTTTGGAATCATATTTTTTAATAAATAATTATATATATATATATATATATATATATATATATATATATATATATATATATATATCATCCACAGAGAAACTGTTTCGCTGTTTCACAGCTCATCAGTGTGACTAGACATCCGATTGCCTCAAGCCGGGATCAAAACTCGATTGATTTTGGAAGATTTTACCCCTAAGCAATTGGCGCACGTAAGGGCTCGAAGGGTGAATTTAGACGTATTTATTTTTTTTTTATTTTTAGACAAATACGCCAGTGACTGGAGAACTCGATTCGTCTAAACAAAGAGTCTTGCATCAGCCGCATTAATAGTCAGTGTTTACAAATTTCCTTTCCTCCCTGAAGAGCTCAAAGGAAATAATTTTTTCAGGGGCATGTATATATATTGTTATCTACAGAGAGACTGTTTCACTGTTTCCCAGCTCATTAGTGTGGCTAGACATCCGATTGCCTAAAGCCGGGATCGAAACCCGACCGATTTACTATTATATATATATATATATATATATATATATATATAATTGGTGTATACGGAATGAATTCCAATAACCAACAATTACTATTCTTAAAAGAGTGCTCAATACAGAGTAGAGCAGATATAATTATTTATTTTTAAAAAAATTATAACATAAATATGTTATTAAAATCACTACAAAAATGTTTTACATTCAACATCATCACGTGATAAGACACCGGAGGTGCGGAAACAAAATGGCTATTTTTGTAGTGATCTTAATAACATATTTATGTTATAATTTTTTTAAAATAAATAATTATATATATATATATATATATATATATAGTGTTACTCCCTTGGAAAAACCTTTAGGTATTTCGGCTTGTACTTGAACAAACCAGTACCCAGTAAAAGAACTAAGAACATGAAATTGAGGCGAACACAATCGTCTAGAGTTCAAGCGCAGAGTCCAAAGAAAAAAACCCTCCAAAAACGAGTAAAGAAACTACGTAAAGTGCTCAATACACTAAGTAGAGCAAACCTAATATAAACCTAAAGAGCTTCTTCCTTTACCTGGCTCTTTAGGCTATATATATATATATATATATATATATATATATATATATATATATATATACTTTATCTCGTAAACGCCATTATAGGGAAGAACGTAGCCATCCACATTAAAAAGTGGCTTTGAGTCGAGAGTCAAGTGTTATCATTTTGTGGGGGAAACCAGTAATGTTTGCCGTCATTTTTTACAAAACAACATATTCGTAAATATTGTTATGCATATTGTTGCTTGTTACTGTCTCTCCTCTGCAGGCTATTCATGTGTGCTAAATACAAAAGCCGGCACGATTAAATTATTTCTTTCAATACCCCCTCCCCGTCACGGTTCTTATTTGGTACGGTTTGCTTGTAATTTTTCAAATGATTTTCTTCATGGCAAAGTTAGTTTTTGCAAGAAATCAAAAATTCTCTCTGCAAATTTCATTTGAAACGGCACTCTTAATTTATGATTTGAAAATTTGTCACTGGCATGAATATTCCAGGAATATTCAATAAAAAAAGTTTTACAACTTTTACAATTCTTCTTCTTTCTTTACTTCTCTATTTCTTCTTCTTCTTCTTCTTCTTCTTCTTCTTCTTCTTCTTTCTTTCTTTCTTTCTTTATCGCCTTTCTTTTTTCTTTTCTCTCTTTCCTTCCTCCCATTGTTCTCTTTTCTTCTTCCCTTCTCTATTTCTTCTTCCTTTCCTCTCCGTTTTTCTTCTTTTCCTTCCTTCCTTCATTCTCTCTTCTTGTTCTTCTTTTCCTTCCTTCCTTCCTTCCTTCCTTCCTTCCTTCCTTCCTTGCTTTCTTTCTTCCTTCCTTCCAACCTTTCCATCTTTCTTTCTCTTTTTCCTTCCTTCCTTCCTTCCTTCCTTCCTCCCTTCATCTCCTTTACTTTTTCTTTTCTTTCTTTTCTTCGTTTTCCTTTCTTCTTCTCTTCTCTCTTATTCATCTTATGCTTTTCTCCATCATTCCTTTCCGTCCTTCCTTCCTTCTCTCCTCTCAATCTCTTTCCTTATTTTCGCCTTTTCTTTCCTTTCTTTTCTACTCTTTCCTTCCTTCCTTTCTTCCTTCCTTCCTTCCTTCCTTCTTTCCTTTATCTCATTTTCTTTTTTCTTTTCTCTCTTTCCTTTCTCCTTTTCTTTTCTTCTTCTTCCTTTCTCTATCTCTTCTTCTTCTTCTTCTTCTTCTTCTTCTTCTTCTTCTTCTTCTTCTTCTTCTTTCCTCCCTTCACTCCTTCTTACCTTGCTTATTTTCTCTTTTCTTCTTCTGTCCTTTTCTATTTTTATTCCTTCTTTATGCTCCCGTCTTCATTCCTTCCATCCGTCTTTATCTCTCCTCTTTTTTACTTCCCACTTTTCCCTCTCTTCTGTCTTCCTTTTTTTTAACCTTTCTTCATCCTTCTTTCCTTTATCTCATTTTCTTTTTTCTTTTCTCTCTTTCCTTTCTTCTTTTCTTTTCTTTTCATTTCTTCCTTTCTCTATTTCTTCTTCTTCTTCTTCTTCTTCTTCTTCTTCTTCTTCTTTCCTCCCTTCACTCTCCCCTCTCTATCTTTCCTTCTTTATTTTCTTTTCCTTTCCTCCTTTCACAATTCCTTCCTTCCTTCCTTTCTTATCTTATCTCCTTCTTACCTTCTTTATTTTCTCTTTTCTTCTTCTTTCCTTCTCTATTTTTATTCCTTCCTTATGCTCCCGTTTTCATTCCTTCCCTCCTTCCTTATCTCTCCTCTTTTTTACTTCCCACTTTTCTCTTCTTCCGTCTTCCTTTTTTAACCTTTCTTCATCTTTCTTTCTTTCCCTAATCTTCTACCCTTTTGTCCTCGTCTTCCTTTCATCTTTCCTTTTTATCTCCTCCACTTCCTTCATTAAAAGTGCCGGCACGATTAAATAATTCATTATTATTTTAAACCCCCCCACCACCACCACCAACTTCCTGTTACGGTGTTTATTTGGTGTTGTCCGATTATTATTATTCGAAAGCATTTCTTGGCACCCTTACCCGAACTTAAAGGTTTATTAATTCTGTTGGGACGTTTATTTGAACCGGTACACTTATATTATAGATTGGACAAATTCCCACCGGTATGACTATTTACGACGGTACCTATAGCTAGTACAAAAGAATAGATCAAAGTATCAGTAGGAAGATTAGGTTTAAGGCTCCAAGTTCTTCACTCAGAATTGTCTCACGAGACAATAGTTTTGTTCCCCATAAGTATTGCTTCGTGCTGTTGACATAGTAATTATAAATTCAATTACTGGGTCGGACAGTGGAAACGAACAATAAGAGAACAGTATTAAATAAGAATTAGAGTTATTTAGTAGAAGGAAATCAATCTTAAATTAAGTTTTCAGTTCGAAATTCCCTGAAAGTTACCTGATGAAGACCGGAGGGAACAACAGTCGAAACGTTGTAAGAACAACATAAATGAGGGCTAATAGTGTGTACGTTCAATACCCGGTTAAGGCAGTGGAGAACTTTCAGAGGGAAAATTAACAGGAGATAACTGATAACTGACATTCATTAAACATGGTACGTTGATCTAGAGCAGTCTACCCCAGTGAGCGAAATAAAGGGTGCAGTTCGACATTCCAACCACATGAAGAAGGCTGTAGCATACAACGGCCGAAACGTTGTAATAAATATGGCGACAAAGATGAGGACAATAGTCCGAATAATGTAAATAATGTACATAATACCTCATCTCAGAAATATAGACAGATACTGAAGAAGGCCGGAGCGTACAACGGCCGAAACGTTGTAATATGACGACAAAAATGAGGACAATAGTCCAAATAATGTAAATAGTGTACATAATACCTCATCTTAGAAATATAGACAGATACTGAGGAAGGCCGGAGCGTACAACGGCCGAAACGTTGTAATAAATATGGCGACAAAGATGAGGACAATAGTCCGAATAATGTAAATAATGTACATAATGCCTCATCTTAGAAATATAGACAGATACTGAAGAAGGCCGGAGTGTACAACGGCCGAAACGTTGTAATAAATATGGCGACAAAGATGAGGACAATAGTCCGAATAATGTAAATAATGAAAAATAGATCAGTCGAATATCTCGTTGATAAAATATTCAGAAAAGGAAAATAAATGTGTAAAATATGCATGAGATCTTTTCAGTCGATGCTATATGAGAAAAGTATATGCGGGTGTCAATGGTCAAGTTGGGTGGAAACAGGTATGATTATCCAGGTTCGAATTCCAAAACAGACAACGAATTTTCAGTCTCCATATTTTTCACAAACTATCGGCGAATGATTCAACCAGTTAAATGCTATGCTTGGGTGATCATATCTCCTTCGATTCATGAGAGACTAGGCAGAAATGTTTCTTGTCGTAGGCTGCCGTTTCTTTCTGCAGTAGACTGGTTGCCAACCAAGGCTATAGGGCACAATCTGTCCTGCTATTCAATCCATAGCTGGGAGAAGACGAAATGAATTCATACCTTTCCCCAGAGGTTTTGCCCTTAAGTGAATGTAACGAACCCTAATAAAATTCGATTTTTTTTATGGTTGGAGGGGATAACATTCCTCGGAACCTATCCCTCGCCCGGAAATGAACGACGTGAGCAACAGGTGTCACTGGATCGTTAACTTGCAACAGCTCGCAGCAAACATAAAATAACTCACGGGACATGGAACATTAAACAACTGTGGCCAGTTAGATAATGGGAAACAAGAGACGAGCAAGCTAAAAATCAACATCCAAGGTGTATGTGAAACCAGATGGCCAAACAACCGGTGGAGTAATGGACAGCGGCTCGGATTGAGGAATCGGAGGGCCGAGTTTGAATTCCAGTCGAATCCATTACATTCACTTACATGCTAATACCCCTGGGAAAGGTATGAATCCTCTTCTTCTCCCCCCAGCTATGGGTAAATAGCAGGACAGACCGGGTTCTATAGTCTTGCATGGCAACTGGTCTACCGCAGAAAAAATGGCAACCTACTGCTGGAAAAAATCTGCCTCGTCAGTCATGTATCAAAAGATACATGATCGCTTACGCGTGTATCACGCATACCACATAACTAACTGACTGATGTTATTTAACCCATAGTCGGAGATTTTGAATTCAGAGTTGTTTTTCTTCTAGACCGGTTGCCACCTAAGGCTATATGACCTAGTCTATCCTATTATTTACCTATAGATAGGTGGCGGGAGAATAGATGAATTCATTTCCTAAGTAAGTTAATATAAAGATCCCGACAGGAATTCGATTTTTTAAAAACTTAGTATGTTGGTCGTTTGTGTGTGCTATGTCTAAGCTAACAAGCTCATATTACTCGTTTACCATATCGATTTTACAGTGGAAGATTAAAGGATTATGCTTCACAAGTTAATCTCTTGCGTATTGAACATCTGTATAGGTACCCAAGTATCCTGGGTTTTTACTCTGTTTATCTGCGTGGAGCTAATCGACAAAAGATATTAAGTTTCTAAAAGACTGGTTTCTTTTTATTTTTCGCGTAGAAGCAGATTTCAGATCGGAATGGTGCACAAAGTCACCAAATCCGCAAAACCTTTTTTATCCCGTAGTTTAAAATCAAATCTCTCCCCACTGAGACGAGATGTGACACAAGGTCGAGTTTAACGTGGGGAACCCGAGCGCATAAACCCGGGCCAGGAACAGAAATACCGATGCCAGCGCCGGTTGTGCTGGAATCGGTATGACTACCGATCCCTCTTCTTTAGTGCAATGAGGGGGTGCAGCCTCGGGCAGCTCTTCCTCATGACCGGACACCTCACAGAGACAAAAATGAGTAACACTTTGCCCGAAGACAGAGGTTTAACTCTCATGGTAATCGTAATATTAATGTTGAAACTAACTGTTTCCTTATAAAGAAATATTCGCTATTCATTTACCGAACAGTTAGATTCCCTGTCGGCTGAAATTTATAAAAACTTTCTATTAAAACAGTTTTTTTGTTGTTTTTTGGGTTTTTTTTTTCAGGAAAATAAGTTTCTGAAGTTCACTAGCAGTCCTTTTTTCTAGTACAGAGGGGGTTTCCTTCCTAAAGTTCTGTTTAAGGTAGTATGGAAAGGAAACATCATGATTATGTCATTATTTTCTTCGTCGGGTCAAATGTGCTATCGATTCTAGTTATTTCTTTTTTTAATCAGTTTCCTCCAAGCAAAATGAAATTGCCAGTAACATACAGGGAACTACTAAGAGTGAAAAAAAAAGACTTTAAAAGGAACCGGAAACCCTATCCTAAACAGGAAACAAGCGATAAACCTATTGAGAAGACAATAAATAGTAAATAAAATATCAGAGTTTAAGAGGAGACATTAGATGTATAGAGATTTTAGAAGGAACCGGAAACCCAATCCTAAACAGGAAACAAGCGATAAACCTATTGAGAAGACAATAAATAGTAAATAAAATATCAGAGTTTAAGTGGAGACGTTAGATGTATAGAGATTTTAGAAGGAACCGGAACCCTATCCTAAACAAAACAAGCGATAAACCTATTGAGAAGACAATAAATAGTAAATAAAATATCAGAGTTTAAGTGGAGACGTTAGATGTATAGAGATTTTAGAAGGAACCGGAAACCCAATCCTAAACAGGAAACAAGCGATAAACCTATTGAGAAGACAATAAATAGTAAATAAAATATCAGAGTTTAAGTGGAGACGTTAGATGTATAGAGATTTTAGAAGGAACCGGAAACCCTATCCTAAACAGGAAACAAGCGATAAACCTATTGAGAAGACAATAAATAGTAAATAAAATATCAGAGTTTAAGTGGAGACGTTAGATGTATAGAGATTTTAGAAGGAACCGGAAACCCTATCCTAAACAGGAAACAAGCGATAAACCTATTGAGAAGACAATAAATAGTAAATAAAATATCAGAGTTTAAGTGGAGACGTTAGATGTATAGAGATTTTAGAAGGAACCGAAACCCTATCCTAAACAGGAAACAAGCGATAAACCTATTGAGAAGACAATAAATAGTAGATAAAATATCAGAGTTTAAGTGGAGACGTTAGATGTATAGAGATTTTAGAAGGAACCGGAAACCCAATCCTAAACAGGAAACAAGCGATAAACCTATTGAGAAGACAATAAATAGTAAATAAAATATCAGAGTTTAAGAGGAGACATTAGATGTATAGAGATTTTAGAAGGAACCGGAAACCCTATCCTAAACAGGAAACAAGCGATAAACCTATTGAGAAGACAATAAATAGTAAATAAAATATCAGAGTTTAAGTGGAGACGTTAGATGTATAGAGATTTTAGAAGGAACCGGAAACCCAATCCTAAACAGGAAATAAGCGATAAACCTATTGAGAAAACAATAAATAGTAAATAAAATTTCAGAGTTTAAGTGGAGACGTTAGATATATAGAGATTTTAGAAGGAACCGGAAACCCAATTTTAAATAGGAAACGAGCGATAAACCTATTGAGAAAACAATAAATAGTAAATAAAATTTCAGAGTTTAAGAGGAGACGTTAGATGTATAGAGATTTTAAAAGGAACCGGAAACCCAATCCTAAACAGGAAACAAGCGATAAACCTATTGAGAAGACAATAAATAGTAAATAAAATTTCAGAGTTTAAGTGGAGACGTTAGATATATAGAGATTTTAGAAGGAACCGGAAACCCAATCCTAAACAGGAAATAAGCGATAAACCTATTGAGAAAAAAAATAATTTGCAAATAAAATTTTAGAGTTTATGTGGAGACGTTAGATGTATAGCGATTTTAGAAGGAACCGGAAACCCAATTTTAAATAGGAAACGAGCGATAAACCTATTGAGAAAACTATAAATAGTAAATAAAATTTCAGAGTTTAAGTGGAGAGGTTAGAAGTATAGAGATTTTAGAAGGAACCGGAAACCCAATCCTAAACAGGAAATAAGCGATAAACCTATTGAGAAAAAAAATAATTTGCAAATAAAATTTTAGAGTTTATGTGGAGACGTTAGATGTATAGCGATTTTAGAAGGAACCGGAAACCCAATTTTAAATAGGAAACAACCGATAAACCTATTGAGAAAACTATAAATAGTAAATAAAATTTCAGAGTTTAAGTGGAGAGGTTAGAAGTATAGAGATTTTAGAAGGAACCGGAAACCCAATTCTAAACAGGAAACAAGAGATAAACCTATTGAGAAAAAAGTAAATCGTAAATAAAATTTTAGAGTTTAAGTGGAGATGTTAGAAGTATACAGTTGTTGTAGACAATTTGGAAATCCTAAAGTGACCTGGTTTTTGTTATTTGGTAAAGTTTTTGTGATTCTGTAGCGCCAGTCTTTGAGATCCATCCTTATAACGCTCCAAACTACCTGAAACTATCTGACTCCATTTGCTATGTTCTATCTTAACAAGAGTCAGATCAGACAAAAAATTTTTCACTTTCCACAGCTTTTGCGCGACCTTGTAGGCGATGAATTATTTTCAAACCTACAGCTTCTTTCCCACATACGCAACGTTGCAAACCTATAGCCATTTCCATGGCAAATGCTCAAACGTGTTACATCCCTTAGTTCCACTAGTTCAGACTTTTACAGCTAAGACCCTGCATGCCACCTACACAGACTCACGAGAAAACGTTTCCCCGATCACTACAAGCTTAACTGCTTCAAGGCTAGAGTGAACTGTTATCTATCTTATATATCTCCATAATCTTCACTTACGTCCTCCTCTTACGTCCGTGCAGCAACCTTATTTATTAACCCTATACTTTGGGTGGATTTCGGGCCTTGTATTCTGTGAATATTTAGTTAAAAAATGATGAAATCAATATGTGTTACTGTTATTTTACTTTCACTTTCATTTTCAAAGTGTAAAATATTTGTAAAGTATTTTTTAAAGATTGAAATAGCTTAAATTATGGGAGAAACTGATCCTTCTCAGTCTCACAAATTGCTCTATGTAATTCGAAAATTTATAGGAGATTTATAAAATCCATGCGCAGTTTTAAATGCTTGTATTTTCTTAACTATGTGATAGAATTAATATGTAAAAAGATAAGAAAAAAAAATTCTTTTTACATTCTATTGTTGGGAGGTTGTTACATTTCAACTCCCTCGCCTCCATTATGGTTAATACGTCATTGTTGTTCTCGAAAAATAATTTGCACCTGATTTTCAGTAATACCTTCAATCTGATCAATTATCCAGGCTCACAAGTCATCCCAACGATCGAAGTTTATTTGAATTAATATTACTTTTTTCATATCTCTATATCTCTCTATATTTTCCATATATATGAAATCCTCTGGTGGATCCCCTAAAACATTTCCTAAAAGGTGACCTGGAAGAGGTCCACCTCTTCACAATTTCCCGCCCTTTGTAACTCTTAATAAATTTTGTCCTTTTGCTATCTCCCCTAAATCAAGTTCTGCCATCCATTTACACAAGCTCGCTAGATAGGATATGCGCTGTTTCCCTCTTGCTTTTAATATGTCCCGTGAGTGTCAAATTCTCCAAGCCATCTTTTCTCGTTATATGCATTAGAAATTTCAACTGCTTCTTTCTGATGTTAAGTGTGCTTTTTGCTTCCATTTTAACCTCGTCGTTGCACACCTGTTCAGTCCATGGTATTCTCAGCATCCTTCTGTAGAACCGCGTTTCTGTTGCTTCATTGTCTCCTCTTTATCTGTGAGTAGATTGTTCAGTATTCACTGCCATATAGAAGGACTCACAATATGCAACAGTTCAGTACTCTTTTCTTTGTTTCTAACAAAATTTTCTTGTTTCTTAATACTTTGCTTAGCTTTTGTAAGTCATCTTTCCCTATTCCAGTGCACTTTCGGATTTCGGTGTCGTACTTTCCGTCCTCTGTTCCCAAATATTTAAATCTTGGTATTTGTTTGATTTTGGTATCTCCAATTTGAAATTTGCATGTTGGGCTTTTACTAACAGCCATGCATTATCTTTTCTTGCAATTGATGCTTAGTCCTTTCTTCGTGCTTTCCTTTACTACCTCCTGTAGGTGTTCTTGTAGCTTACTTTCTGTGTCTGCTATCAATACTGTGTAATCAGTCCTCTCTTCCTAGTCTTGATAGAGTTCAAAAGCGTCCCTGAGTCCTTGTTAGTGACGAAGTATTTTTCACCCACCAACCTCTTTCTCATGTGACGAGTCTCTCACTGTTCTATCACTACTTCCATGGAAAGTTCTCGGACGAATTACATTCCTTGGCTCCGCCAGGCCAAACCATCACGGATAGGACCAGCCATACCACTTACATTGTCTCAAACCACCCATATTCTCTCGGTATTCCTCGGTGATAAATAAATTCCACTCTCCGCGAACCATTTGCTCTGTGGAATCAATGTTTCCCCGATCACTACAATCTTAACCTTTTCATGTCTAGAGTTAACTGCTATCTATCTATCTATCTATCTATCTATCTATCTATCTATCTATCTATCTATCCGTGTAAACGACTCCTTTGCGTAACTCTCTGCCTCGCGTGGTCCCCTACTGGGCAAACATTACTGTAAAAAAAATTGAGTATCTTGTTAAGATTGTGGCCAACAATAACGAATTCTGGTGGGGCTTCACTTATATATCGCTTAACTCACAAATGCAAAATGACGTTGCTAAAACACTATCAATTCTATTGGTTCAGTTCAGAAATAAAGTAATTTTGAAGCTTCAAAATTAAAGTATTTTAAGTGTACGCAGACTTTCTAAATTTTCTTTATATTTATTTAACAGGCTCTTTAATAAAACAAACTTGTCCCTCTGTTGTTACTCCGTGGACTATACCACTGCTTGAGATAAACAAAACAGGAAATCCCGACATTTTATCTGTGCTCGAACAGCCATTTTGGCACGAGTGCATAATACTATCTCAACCATTAAGCAGACGTCTATGACATCATTATAAACGGTAAGCATCTTTTTCTTCTTCGTTTACGTGGAGTGTCCCTTCAGCTCATGGGCGATCATGACTTTCCACAACTTCCGATCTTTTGCAGCGCTTAACAATGATTTTTTTTCTATCCTTCCTAATTCCCATTATGTAAATCCATTTGCACAAACCCTTTAGGTTGGTTGCTCACTCTTCCCCTCAGTCCCTTTTGATTTCAATGTCCTGTAAGTGTCAAATTCTCCGAGCACTCTTTCCTCGTTATGCGTCCCAGAAAGATGACCTGTCTGCTTCTGATTCTAAATATAAGTTCACTTTTTGTTTCCACTTACTTTAAAACGTCCTCCTTGCTCACATGCTCCGTTCATTGTATTCTCAGCATCCTTCTCTAGAACCGCATCTCTATTACTTAAGTTTACTCTTCATATGTGAGAAAATTGTCCAGCATTCACTGTCATATAAGAAAACTCATATTATATAGCAGTTCAGCAATCGAACTTTGATTCTATCGAAAGGTTTCCTGTTTCTTAAGACCCTGATTTTTTTTAGATTACCTACCCTCTCTGAGAGAGAGAGAGAGAGAGAGAGAGAGAGAGAGAGAGAGTGAGAGACTAAGAGAGAACGAGTGTGTATTATATTTCATAGTGCAAAAATTCTGATCCACATGTAAATAAACGGGTATATATATATATATATATATATATATATATATATATAAATTTGCAAAAATATTTTATAAAAACATTTATAAATAAAAAATATTCTTTCAAAAATGTTGAAGCTGCCAGCATCTCTCATTACTTTTTTGCATACTATTTTTTTAAATACTGTTTGTTGATATATAAAATTATACAAAATTATATATCGTTATGTATATCATCCGGCCCACTCTCGATCTTTTGAACAGGAGCAGAGGTTTATCCTTTGTTCTCTGATTAGGATTGGCTGTATTGTTCCTTCTCAGTAAGGCTTTAAATCTATGCTTCTAACGTCTCCGCTTAAACTTTGAAAATTATATTATTTTGGGGTTTATCGAGATAGAGAGAGTACGTGTGTGTTCACAGAGTTCACAAATGCTACATTGTGATTCTAGCAGAAATACTAATCCACATGTAAATAAACGGATATATATATATATATATATATATATATATATATATATATATATATATATATATATATATATATATATATCATCGAGAGAGAAAGAGAATGAGATAAGATAGAAAGCGAGGTGTACGCGTGTGTATTACTTTTCATAGTGCATACAGACGTTGTAATTTGATCCTAGCAGTAATGCTGATCTGCATGTAAAAGAGCGCGTATAAGTTATTGTATTGGCCTTACTCTCATTATCGAAATTTTTGTCCAGCGAATTTTCATGCTCAAGGTTTATATATATATATATATATATATATATATATATATAATAATGAGAGCCGGGCTCGAATCTCACCATGGTCGATTTTTCAGGAAGGGCACTTCCTGATGTTATCGGACTCGAGGGGTCGATCCCAGCGTGCGGCACTTTTGAAAAGTACCTGAAAATCATACCACGGGTTGACACAAACTTTGTGAGTGAAATAAATTAGACGGTACCTCTGGGGGTGGCCGAGAGCTGTGCTAGCACGAAGTCACAAGTCATCGTGGCCGAGGGATTGAGCGTGCTGGCCTTGTTCAATTTATTGATCACGACAGATAACATGCTCTCTCCCAGAAACTGTAACTAAGGTCTGCTCAGCATAGTTGCAGTATAAACCACAGGTGGGCTCTCTGGGTGTTGAACAAACACAAAAATTCTCCTGAGCAAGCATCTGCAATAGGCATTGGCTAACCGCCCTAGTAGATGGGAATCCTCGAATACGAGTGGCCAGCTATACTTATATACACACACACACACACACACACACACACAGATAGATAGATAGATAGATAGATAGATAGATATATTGAGACATGTTTCGTTAAATAATTTATGCATGTACTGTCTACTTATTTTCAATAGGATCCTTTCATATTCACGGATAAGCTTTTTGGTGTCGTTATTGAAGGACGAGAGAAAACCCCCGTGTTGTTACATATTTCGTTTCTTCACGAGTACTATCGACATAGCACAATGTCATCATCAGGGTATTGAAATATGGAAATACGAAAGTATGTATCAACACAGCGATTTTCTCCCGTCCTCCAATAACGATACCAAAAAGCTTATCCGTGAATATGAAAGGATCCTATTGAAAATAAGTAGACAGAACATGTTTAAATTATTTAACGAAACAATGAAAACATGCTGCCGAAATATACGCACATATACATACATATATATATATATATATATATATATATATATATATATATATATATATATATATGGGGAATAATTTAGACTATTTGTCTATTATTTTCAATAAGAACCTTTCATATTCACGGATAAGCTAAGATATATATATATATATATATATATATATATATATATATATATATATATATATATATAAAGCTATATATATATATATATATATATATATATATATATATATATATATATATATATATATATAGCTTATCCGTGAATATGAAAAGTTCTTATTGAAAAATAAGTAGACAAAAATTTTCGCTTGAGGATGGAACGGAGCCCATTTTACTTTCAACTCAATTTAATTTAAAGGATTATATTGAAGTTTTCGGCTCTAGTTTTGAAACATGAGACATCTTATGTAAAGATTTGGAATCATATTTTTTAAATAAATAATTATATATATATATATATATATATATATATATATATATATATATATATATATATATATATATGTATATATTGCAGTGGATTGGAGCTGTATTTGCAATTTCAGTGCTAATGTCCTGAGATAGACTATTTATCGTAATAAATAAAATTAAATGTTCACTTATCTTTACACAAAGATGTGCGGAGATTACATCCATTCATCAATCAAGTCCCCTGATGCAATGTTCATGAGACACTAAGTAGGGAGAAGATTAGTGAACATTTCCTTTTATTTATTACTACTTTCACGCGTATATAGACATACAGGCTTACGGCCATATCACGTTAAATTATCGGTTCCCGTACGATCATCGAAGTTAAGCAACGTCGAGCCTGATCAATACCTAGATGAGTGACTGGTTGGAAATACCAGGTATGGTAAGCTTAGGTGTCCGAGTCGTGTAATGAATAACAGCTCAGAATTTTAAATCGAATAACCGAGTTCCAATCATGTTATATTCGATTATGCGTAAATACCATTTGGAAAGGTAAGAATCCACATCTTCTCGCTCCAACTAAGGGTTAAATAGTATGATTGTATCAGTAAACCATTCTTATCCCCCAAATTATTACAATCCCAAAATATTTTCTGGTTTTAAATAAACTGCAAGGGGTTGATAAACCGTAAAAAAACAAATGAATAAAAACCACAGATATACATCAGTGAAACATTCAAGTCGTAAAACACAGATTCTATAGTTTCATAATGTCTTTAATTGAAAAAAAAAATCTTAGTAAAATTCATTTTTCAGATAAATTATTTATTTATTTATTGGACTAGCAAAGCGCTTGCTTGGGAATAAATTCACCAATTTTTAAATAAATAACTGGGAAAGATAAATAAATTAATATATACTAAAATAAATACAGATTATTTTATAACCAGTTTTATTCCATCTTCTTCCTAACAGTTTGCGCACGCTGTCAAAAAATGACGTCATATTTTCTTAGAGGTTTTAGGTTTTTATATGTAGGACAATAAATATATTCTTATTTTATCAATAAGCAATAATTCAAAGGGGGGCAGATTATTGTATAACAATAGAAAATCAATCCCTCATTTTGTGTCCAATATCGAATCGTATATTAATACTAGTTGACCCATGCCGTCAAAAATGGCGGAATATTTTACCAAGTAATTAAAAGTTTTTCACGAATCTCTAAATATATTCCTGCAATTATTATACTACTATGCAGTAATTGAAGAGGGTCCACATTACTAAATAAATAGCAAGGTAAACCAATCCACAACTTTATATACAGTATCGGATCTTATATTAATTCTAGCTTACCAATGCCGTAAAAAATGCCGTATTATTTTATGAAGTCTTTATACTTTATATTAGATTTTGCAGAGATTATTATTATTATTATTATTATTATTATTATTATTATTATTATTGCGAAACTTTCACGTGAGATTCTTTAAATATATCTTTTATTCCTAATTATATTAAAATGAGAAATTCTAGGAGTGAGGATCAGTTTGTTATTTAATAACAATGGAAAACTAACATCCAACTTTATGTTCAAATTGAATCTTATATTAAAACGAGTTTAACCATTTTAGGCCCTTACTATCATTAAAAGATTTTACAATGTTATGTTTTAAATATATGTCTTCCAAATTATTATAGTTTATCCGTTTGTGCATCCTTACATGACATTATCTGATCATTTACTATTTGGAGACTTTTCTCGACTTCACAGAAATAACCAAATATTTGCATTATTCATTCAAACAGTCCGCAGCTGTCATAAAAAAGCCAGTGCAAGGGAGATCTAATTAATACTCTTGCACTCGCGATATTAAAAGTTACGGACTCTGCAAATGTCTATCTATCTATCTATCTATCTATATATATATATATATATATATATATATATATATATATATATATATATATATATATATACTAGCGTATTATATACTAACACTGCTTTCTTATCACAATACCCCGGGTCGTCACAAACTTGTAAGGAGCGGAAGGTGACTACAATTTTGAACTCAGCTTAATTCTTGAAGCTTCCGTGAGTGAAGTAGCTAAGACGACGTCCATGAAAGACAATCGACGTGAAGAATGCGAAGTTCAGATTTCACGAGGAAAAACTTTTCTTCTTTTTTTTATTTTCCAATCTCGCGCTGTTTTCCCTAGTGTTCGAAGAGTGTATCGACCCAGAATTTTGAAATAATAAAAAAAAAAGCCACAATAATAAGATGGAACAAGTCTAGTAATAAAATAATTATAGTAAAAATATTTCCTCTAAAGTTTTAAATAATCATAATAATTTAAATAAATATACTGTTGTGAGACAGCGATGTTTTCTCAATGCGTTCCATAATTATTTGTCACTCGGAAAGATAATGATATGTCCACCAAAAATGAAAATGACCATTTACAAAAAATAAATGATCTGTAATAAATAATAAACAAAAAAAATGTCCCAAATCGATATGACTTCCAGTTCGATATATCAGATTTTAGCAAAACGTGACGTTATCATCAGACCCCAATATTGTCTTTGATATAGACGTATGTACAAAATAGTGTTGATTGATGTCCTTGATAATGTAATGTAATACTTGCTAAAAAGTAAGCATGTCCGGAAGTGGGTCACTACCACTTCCTGTTTAATGAGATCACTGAAGCAAAACTTTATCTCCAGTAGAAAGCTTTTTTTCTTTCTTTTTTTTATATTGTTTTTAACATGGCTGTCGGGCAGACGACAGCGTCTTATAATCATAAGTCAAGGGTGGATTCTAACAAGCTTGGGCAATCTGTGGAGAGTTTATTTTCTCTGGGGTCTTCAGGAATCCAGATTTTGGCCACCATTGTGTTGTTGGGTCCTAAATGGGGTTTCTTCTCATCCTTCCAGGACAAAGAATGGCCTTCCAAAGGAGGTAATCCGTACCGGTCACTATCGTCAGTGAGACCTGCAAAGAATAAGATAAATTTTTGTTAAAACATAATATATTTTCGCTATTTCTTTATTCTTTTATTTTTTAAGAAAAAAAAATGTATTATCAAGAGTGGTCTCCCCTTGTTTTGTTACTCTCCTCTTTGAGAGAGCTATTTCTGTTTACTAGGACTATAAAAGAACACTCTACGTGAACCTTGTATTCTCAGTTGAATAAAGCATTCTTAAAGTCTGCACCTACGTACTTTGGTCATTAAAAAACATTCTTGTTATTTTAGTTTGGTTTGTTTTACGGCATGCATTACAATTTCCCCACTTATCTCCCCGAATTTTCTTGTTAGATAGATAGGTAAACATCTAGTTTGCACGAGAGTCAAAAATGTAGATATAGATACTGTTTGCCCGTGAGACAAAAAGGTAAACAGAGGTTTTGTATACATGAGCGTAAAAAGGGTAAAACGTTTGTCTGAATGTCAATCAAAAAGACAGGTTTAAAAAGGTAAGCATAGCTAATCTATAAGTAAAGGCAATCCCTTTAACGGGTTACTTCTCTGCACAAGGATGCCATTTTGCGTATTCTCGACCCAAACCGATGGGTTGAAACTATTGTTGCAAAATCTAGTGTGTATATCTTTCCGTCAACTCTATAACACGCCATGGGTTAGTGCTGATAAAATTACTCACATAGAAATTTATTGCTCACGTGAGTTAGATGGGTGACTAAAATTTGGTGGCCTGCTCCTGACTACACTCTGCAATTGCCGATGAGGATGTATCCTGTCCTGCCTCGTCGGTAGAGCCGGGAATACACCGGGTACAACTTCTGAGAAGTGATAACCCCATCGCCAGCTCTGAATTAAATACTTATAGACTTTAATATAATCTATCAATATTTACCTATTCCAGAACCAACTTCACACTCCTCCCCGGCGGTCTTCTGAACAGGAGTAGAGGTTCATCCGTTGTTCCCTGTTTAGGACTAGGTTTCCGGCTCCTTTTAAAATCTACTACAACCCTATAATTCTAACGTTCCCGTCAGAACATTGAAATTATATTTAATAATTATTTATTTTCTACTCCATAAAAGTAGATTAATTCGCCTATCGTCCGGTTCACACTCTTCCCCAGTCTTTCTAACAGGAGTAGAGGTTTATCGCTTGTTTGCTGTTTAGGATTGGGTTTCCAGTTCCTTCTACAGTCTTTCACTTTTGTAGCCTTCAGATCTGCAAATCTTTTCATGGCACATTTTTATACCTATGTGTTTTACAGGATCCTTTTCTATTGACAAAATAGCCAAAGTATTTCATCTGTCTTGAGTAATGGACGACTGCAAATATGTTTTTATAAGCTTTAGTTTTGGAAGATCACAAACACATGACATGTCAGTATGATGGTGACGTCGGCCTTGACTAAATTCTCAGGACTAAAACTAAAATGAATATTTTGCATTGCACTAATGCATTGATCAGATCGTAAATGACTCGCTATTGGAAAACCCATGTATTTTTAGCAAGTCCTGCATATTCCTAAATGACAGAAGGATACTATGGAGCAAATATGTGAGCAACGACGAGGTTTTGGAGAGGATGCAAACAAGGAGGAAGCTTAGACTTAACATCAGGAAGAGGCGGCTGAAATTTCTGGGATACGTAATGAGAAAGGAGGGCTTGGGGAATCTGATACTCACAGGGTGGCTAGAGGAAAAGAGAGACAATGGAAAGCAACGTGTGACATATCTATCGGGCTTAAGCAAGTGGGTGACAGAACAGGATTTAGGATAAGTAACAAAAGAACAAAACACTTTCAGAACTACAAAGGATAGGGAGAAGTGGAGAGCCATGACACGGGAAGGGACACGGCACATAAAATAAGATATTCTTAAATAATTCTATACGCAAGCATGCAAAAAGAAACTTATTGCAGTCAAAGGTAAAGGAAGTTGGGTATCTAATTCTTATAAAATCATCGATAAACTTCAAAAATTAATTGGAATAACATAGAAGCAATTTAATGCCAACTATTCAAACACGGACTGTTCATTTAACGCCTCACATTAATAATGAAGACACTTAAAGATACTGTTAATTCAAATATAGAAGTTTTATCACAATTTTCCTTCTGTCCTGACAATTTTTGTTTCAGTTGGTTTCAAGATGGCTGCACAAGCATGCGCAAAGACGATGGTATTGTTGTCTTTTTTTCATTGGGTAGGATTTTTTTTGTATCACAGTATAGTGCGAATTCTCCGAAACAGTTGAACCTGGGTGACCGGGTGGATGTTGGGTGGCTCTTTACAGCTGAGTGTGAATTGAAGAGAATAAGCGTATACAAAGAGAATGAAAGAAAATACAACTCTTTCTTTCTTTCTTTTTTTCTTTCTTTCTTTTTTTCTGTCAATTTGTTTATCGATCTATCTAACTAACCATTATCTCTTTATCTCGATTTTTATCACGCCCCCCCCAT